GCGTTGTATTCTTCATTTTTGTGTGCTGAATCCAACCGTATAAAGAACGTGAATTTTGGACGTACGGTTGGAAAGTTATAGGCAAAACACTGGACATAGGTCGAAACTGGAAAAACAGAGAAACGAATCTGCCCAAAAACGACCGGTCGTTACTGTTCAGGAGACCGGTCGCACATGAATCTGCCCCAAAACGACCGGTCGTCACTGTTCATTTTCACTGTTCACCGCACTGTTCACAGGTGATAAATAGGTGATAAAAGGGTGATAGAAAGTGCTGTTTGTGTTTTTCTTTAGTTTTCTTGTGTTGTTTCATTTCTTTTACACTTCTTTACTCATTTCTAGTTTCCCTTTTTCATTTGTGCATTTGTGGTGTGTTAAATAAGTGTTCTTTACGTACTCAAATTAGAACTTATAGGAAGCCGACAAGTTCTTCGTGGGATCGACCCCGTACTTACATAATCTATACTTCGATAGATTCGTGCACTTGCGGGTATTTTTAATTGGTTGTTTGCACATTAATTTGTGTCCTTTTAGGAATGCAACAATACACCAATATATGAATGAAAGAGAATTCTCACCAAATTTGATATGATATCAGAACAGTCGATCTTGACTGTTTCTTGCCCTAACCCTAGCAATCGCTTCCTCAGTAGTAGCTGCCATACAAACCCAGCACCAGCCCATATTCCATCTCAAATCACCTTTTTGCAATATTCCATCTAGATACGCAGCACCAGCACCAAAAGCAGATTCCATCTCACAAACCCATTCAAACCTTTCCTCTAGTCAAATCACGTTTTGCAATATTGCAAATTACTTTCCACTCACAAACCCATTCAAACCGTTCCCTTTGTTTTGTTTTTCCCTTCAACCCAATATTTCTTATTGCAAAACAGTTTGTCTTATTGTCTTTGTCCGCCGTTCACTTGTTTTTCCTTAACCTGATATTTCTTTTTGTTCTTTTCTCATCAGTTACCCAGAGTAACGTTTCCCCCAACGACAGATTTATTTTTGCCCTTTTTTCTCATTACTTGTCAGCCAATATCATGGCCAACGATGATGGGTCAGTAAACACCAATCAATCCTTGGTGTTGGAAGGCTCCAACAATCAATCATTGGAGGCACAAATCGTCACTTTGCAGAGTGACACCTCCAACTTCTCCGCAGGAATCAAACTGGATGAGAATAATTATTCTCCATGGCATCAAATCATAGAGATGAAGATAGCTGGGCGAGAAAAACATGGCCACTTGACCGGTGATATTGCCCAGCCTACAGCCACAGATCCCAAATTTAATAAATGGCGTGAATCAGATTGCGAAGTCAAGAGTTGGTTGTTCGATGCTATGCAACCGAATCAAATTAAACAGTTTATTCGTTATGACACAGCAAAGCAAGTTTGGGATGCACAACAGAATGGTGTCGCAGAGCGTAAGAATCGTCATCTCTTGGAAGTTG